ACTTGCGCACACGCATATGCGCAGTAGTCAAGGTCTTACGCCCACGTGTAAAACGCCTGTGCGCATGTGCTAACCCGGCGCATGCGCAGAAAGTTTTTAGCTTTGAGGTCCGGATTATAGATCATTCCGGATTATGGGTGCCCGAACTAACGACTTTTGATTGTATATAAAAGAAATGTCATTCACATCATATATATCTCACAAAATTAAAACCTATACAGTCAAAAGTCTTTAAGCCTAACTCGTCGGGACTTCGGCGATTCCGGATCATTGGTTTTTCTGGATTATAGATCATCAGTTTAAATCTGGTAAGATGGCATGCAGAAGTTATAAAATTAAAAATATGAAACTCTAATTTATGAAATAAAGAGCACTTATGATCTAAAAGGTATCAAAATTTACAAAAAAAAAAAGCTTAATTTTGTTTACTTTATTAAAAATTTCTTTCAATGCCCGCATGCGTTAAGCATACATTACGCATAGTCGAAATTAGAAAATTGCAACCAGAAAACTATTTGATATGTATTTGTGATATTTATAATGATGAGGAAGTTGATTTAAATCATATCAAAAACGGAGTACATCGAGATGAAATACTACACTTAGTAAGGTATTATAAGCAGAATAAAATAAAAACATCTGTCCTGAAGATAAGGATAGTGTTGACAGATCAACTTCCAGTTCATTGTGCCCCGCAACAGAAATAAGGAAGCACTTTTGTGACCTTAAGAGAAGAAAAATTTATGCACACACATGCACCAAAATAAGTAAATAAATAAATATCTTACGTTTTCAGATTTTTATTTATTTTGGTGCATACATGCATGTATTTTGGTGTACAAATCCTTTTAGGTAATCGTAAAAATCTGAAAGCCTTCAGCTTATCTGAAGCTTTCAGATTTTAAATGATCATAAATTTAATCATCAGCTTAAAAATCTGAAAGCTTTCAGATTTTAAGTTACTGGAAAGGGTTTGTTAAGGTTTGTTTATGCTCTCGCTGGACTTGCAGTCTACCAGTTTGCTATTACACTCACTCCTACAAAACCCCCTTTTTTTGTCTTTTAAGCTTTATTATTAAGCAGCATTTTCTTTGCCCTTATGCCATACACAATTCAACAGCAAAATCACAATAATTTTAAAAGTGGTATAGGAGTATATGTTTAGGATCCAAGATGCAGTGATTAAGTGTTAGCACATATTTTTATCAATGTTCAGTTTTCTTACTAAGACAGCTTTACAAAACTTTATTTTTGTCTTTTTATCATTAATGCTTTGTATGTTTATTAATTAGCATTCATTAAATATTTATTTACAAAACAGTTCATGGTGCTTAAGCCCCATAAAATTCGATTCAACAGCCAAATCACAAAACATTAAAAATGGCATATGTTTAGAATTTCTGACAGACAGTCTCACATTGAGTTTATTAACGAAATATAAGATAGATAATAGTACAAATTCAAAATTCCGACTTCAAGGTGGCTATATTCAGGTGGAGGACTACATTATTCAAAATTTGAAGGCTCTAGATATTGTTGTTTTTTCACAATGTGAGAAACATACATTCGTGCAGATTTTTCATTATTTAATTTCTTTAAATATATTACAAGGCAATAATATTTGGAGGCAAAAACTTGAAAGTGATACAACGCATTTAAGTGTTTCAATGCAAAATGCCATTTCGAGACTAATATCCCATTCGGGACCAACATCTCTTTTAGGCTTTCAAAAAAAAAAAAAAAAAGCACAAAGTTAATATTTGTTTTGTTCCATGACATATTTCTTTCAACAAAAGCAATTTCATTTTTTGTATTAATTAATTTCTCTTTAATTTTATAAAGACATAACTTCCTGTAATTGCCATGTTGAAAATTCCTACTAAATGGTCAACTAAAATCTTTTCATTCTGAACAACTTTGTTAATATCATTTCCCCCTCCCATTAACGGTGGTAACATTTGAACCTCCCACAGGATTTAAAAACATACTACAGATTTTGCACCTGTTAGTTCATGACTGAGGCATTATCATTGCAATGAAGACTTCAGTTATATCACCTTTATACAATATTTATTTGCATTCCTTCATATATTTCAGTGAGTGCAAGAAATGCAGCTATACCAGGCAGAAAAATTTAAGACAGGCAAATTTTCTAGAATTAGGAAGACAGGGTGGCTAAGTCTGCATTGAGCAGTAAAAAGGCCTAATGTGAACCCTGTCACCAGTCTGATTCTTTTATTTGCATTCTTTCCTGACACACCAAGCTTTCTATCTAATTATATCTTTTTTATACATTTATGGTTTTTCATGACTTGGTATTTGCCAAGCAATGAACAAGTGATTACTCCATTTCTTCAAGAAATATGTATCCTAAAACTGTATTTGAGTAACTAAATCATAAATTAAAATGTGGCGTGAAATAGCAACATTTTCTGGATTTAAAATTATATTAAAGATTTCCATTAAGATTCTATTATTTCATTGATGAGTGACATGATGACGGAAATGGAAGACTTCAGTTACATCCTCTTTATTTAGCACTTCTTAAAATATACAATTAATCGAAAAATTTCTCTTTTCACTTGCTTTTACTCTTAATATATAAAAACCATCAAATTCGTGACTATCATGAACTTTCGTAGCTGGCTATAAATTATGCCAGATGTATTAAAAAAATATCTGCATACAATGTTGCACACAATAGATTTTATAATAAAATATTTTAAGAGTTCTTGAAAAGTCTTACTGCTGGCACTGATTGTTAAAAAGGCTATTTTATATCTGCATTTTCGTGAATTCTAATTTTGATAAAACACTAGTTGAATGAGAGGCATTTAGTTTCAAGGAAAGAGTAGAACAAATACTTCTCAGTTCACTGCGAAAAAATTAATAATAACAAATATGAACAAAATAATCATCAGAATTAACTCAAAAAAATTAAGAAAGAATGCAATTTGCAATGCAGGCTGAGCTTGAATTACATGGAATCTAATTCTTTAGTCCTGCTTCCCTGTTACAACAACAAAAGAAAACAAGTATGTATACATTCCACTTTAAACATGGGTTTTCAGTCCTCATTTACAGCACACAGGGCTAGAAAGATGGAAAAATGCTGTGTTCCCCCATTGCCAGATATGGGCCGAAAATGAGCATACATAGCTGCCAACCTTGAAATATTTTTAAAAAAAAAAAAGTTCTTGCACAAAATGCCTACAGTATATGGGAGGTTTTTATGCTACACCACATCATCATTTCAAATGAACTCCAAATTATATAAATTCACTTTATAACATGATCCGAGTAATTCAACTATCTGTAATTTGGCTTTGACATAAAATACATCAATATTTAATTAGCAAAATTATTCTAAATTTTATATTCTTTGGCTAATTTAATTCTGCAATTTTCTTAATAATTTTCTATTGAAAAAGTCTTCAATAGAAAAATAAACCTACAGTTACCAACAAAACAACTAACAAAGACGAGAAACATCGTTCTTGACTTACGCTTATGGGCAATCTATTTTATATGCATAAATGTGGATTAAGTTACCTGACACACTTTTGGAGGAGAATAAGTGAATACGCACACCATGTTAACAGACGAGCAAAAAATACATAATTATGTTCCATTACTTAAATACAAGTCTCTTGCTAATATAAACACACTTCCCAATTTGTACTTAATTTATTTCAGTAAACATCCAATTACATTTAAAATCATACAAATATAACTATTTTTAACAGTTTTATTTTTATTTTAATATTCACAAATATATAAATTTTGAATCGAAAATCTGGTTAAATGAAATTCAATATTTAGATATTAATTGCATTTTCTGCTTTTCTTGTTCTCAGTGTAAGTTTTAGAATAAAATTTCAAGTGTTTTTCTTAAAATTCTAGTTAAAAATTTTATTGCTGATTTAAGCCTCAATAAACATTATTATGTAATTTCTGAAATATAAAAAAGAAGCAAAATTTTGCAAAATTCGTAATTACTTTTTTAAGGATAAAAAGCTCAAAAATGAGATAAATATAATTTCTCATGTGTTAAACGATCCATATAAAACTATTAACAACTGTTAATATAAAAGATAATTTTTATTTGTTTGAATTATAGTTATTTCATTGATTTATTTACCTGAATCATTAAACTTACTTTATAACACTAATTTAACAACACAAAAGCATTTTCTATTTTAAAGGCCCAATCACAACACTTCAAGCAAGATATAAAATAAAACACATATTCTGGTATATTTTCTCAGCTGTATCAGATACAAAATATAAAAATTTAGAATTAGAATAAAAGAACTATAGCAAAAGTAAGAAGTTCTGTTTTCACAGTTCATTCATTCTTCATTGCGGATATGAACTTCTGCATATAAATTTCTCTTTAAGGATAGACAAGATTTAATGTATCAATGACAACTTAATCTCTTAGCCAAATTAACTACGAATTAAAAAAATTTACCCCATTTTCTACCAAAGTGAACAAAATATGTCATAAAAAAGGAAAATTTAGCATTTGAGATTTTTTTGACAAATGGTTTTCAAGCCAAAGGCTTAGACACATATGTCCCATCCATAGTTAATGGTGGGATACATATGTCTCACACACACAGTGATCCACTTACTATAAGCACACCTATTATTCTGGAAAACCTTATTATATGAAATAGATTTTACATCATATGGCACAGGATAAAGCATTCTTTGCATAACCCAACAATACACACTGAGCAACTCATATTTGTCCTTTTCTCAAAGTTCATTTGTGTACATTGAGCACAGTGGCATCTTGATTTTCCAACTATTGGAAGATGATTCCCAACATTCAAGAAATTCTAGGTACTTTTTTAACCCAGCAGTAACTTTTATACTTTTAGTAATTTTTAAACTTTTTTCCCCATTAGTAGTCAAAGTATATTACTAACTTCAAAAAATTTTTAATAAAACAAATCATTATAAAATATTGACATAAAGGTTCATATACATACCCTTCTCCTCCTGTGTCAGAACTTGTAAGACTAGATGATTCTGATTCAAAACTATGAAAGCTATTACAATTGTCACTTCTTTCTTCTGACTGATGTCTCCTTGGAACTACATTATCTACAAAAAAGCATAAAAGATGTTATGAAATTTACAAAAGCATTTAAGTTTTTTAGAGTAACTGTACTTAAAAAGAAAAACAGAGATTCATCAAGAAATTTTTAAATCACTCTGAAGAAAAAATTCTAAAAACCTATGTTGCAACATGTTTCAACACTATGGAAATTATATTATACATACATGTTTTTACATGCATATGGATTCATAATGGATTAAATGCACACAGAACTGATGATAGCTTAATAAAATTTGTTTCCCCAAAAAAGCACTTTACAATTCTGGAACTTTTCAAAAACTATTTGTACAGCTCTTCTCAGAATGACAGAATAGTATAATCAGTAGTTACCACTTCAAATACTAAGAATATTAAACACAGTGCAAAGTATATCAAAACGGCAAAGCTCACATGGAGATCTTTCGGTAGATTTCCGTTTTGTTAGCGCAAGCGATAAAGTTGCCAATAATGGTGCAACTAATGCCAAACGGAATATCCTTGATGGTAACCTTTAACGCCTCATATTTTCAAAACAACTCGCAGCCATTTGTTATCAGATTGATTGTTTCTTTCAATACTGGCATACAATTACATATAATTTTTACCAGATAGTTCAGTTTTATGCTCTAAGGCCATTCGCGGTAATTAAGTCAATTAGGATACAATCACACCACTTACACGAAGCCGAAAATATAGAAAAGGCGAAGCCAAGGGTTAAATTCATCAATTCCAATGAGAATGCACTAGCGAAGTAAAGCACTGCAGTTTTACATAATTTCTGAGTAAGCTATTCATACAAATTGAAATAATACTTGCATTTAAACTTGTGTTCCAAATTAAGATTTAACTTGAAATTAATGTAGATAATTACTGACAGAATTAGATTTTTGTAGCGTAGTTTACATGAGATGAGATCACTTGGGGTCACGTGATATGAAATGGCAAATCGGGATGTTGAACCATGTTCATAGTAAATTTTTATATCAATGTATTTTCACAAATTTACTGTCTTTATTTATTTGTTTTAAACAAAATTGTAAACTCTATTAAAATGTTTATGTCTTCAAATAAAAAATTCTTTAACCTATTTAATTATTTTTTAATGTGTATACTATATGTTGTCGCCAACAAAGTCTGCTTGGTGAGATTTGCGCTGGCGAAACAGAAAAGTACCGATCTTTCAATTCTCCGAACTCAACTCTGAGCCAATGCTCTCTCCGATCTTACATAGAAATTTCCAGTTTCTTCAGTTTCTGCAAATGCATTTGCAGTTTATTAGTTAATTTATAAAAGCTTTGGTAATGTCACTTAATATATAACTGATGTAGAATCCTTTTTAAAATTTTTTGTTGACTTTTAAAAGCAAATCTTTTAAAATATTATATATCAATGATTATAGACTTAGCCAGTTAGACCAGTGGTAATAACTTGTAAGAAATGTTCTTCAGTATTCATTATGTTTAATATGTTCAGTCTGTCCTATTTCTCATGATATTGTCATTTAACTCTTTTGATTATTATTATTTTTTTTTTCCCCCAGTGTTTATGAAAAATCTGTCATGTTGCACGGTAGACAGAAAAGAGGAATCTTACTGCAGAAATAATAGATATGATGACTGCTATAGTGTTTATGAAAAATCTGTCATGTTGCACGGTAGACAGAAAAGAGGAATCTTACTGCAGAAATAATAGATATGATGACTGCTATAGAATAGCCAGTTTCTATGAATGAATTTTAAATAATTAAAAAAAATGAAACAATTAACATTTGAACTAAGATCAATATTGCCCATATATGCTTAAAATATAATAGTATGCCAAAATAATAAAAACATAATTGAGAAGATTTCAAGAAAAAGAACTTTGATTACTGATTTAATTTACATAACCAAATGAAAGTACTCCTGGTTAAATTAAATAAAAATACAGGTGAACTGTTAAAAATACATTTAAAAAAAATTAATATAGCCCATTCCTCTTTATGGACATTTTTTAAATACCTTTGAATTAATCATAAATTTGAGTTAACTGCAGATATCATTCCTATTATATCCCAGTTAACTAAGAATTGACTATATTACACTTTTATTTTTCTGTTATTAAAATGATGAAAAACATAAAGCAATAAATAATTAATTAAAAAATACAATTTTAAAAGGCTCTACTAAGCACATCATTTCACTAATTATAATAATTCTTATTTTAATTTAGCCAATTTATAGTAATTTTATAATAATCTAGCTAATTTATAATAATTTAATTTTAATTCAATTTGATTCACTTCTATTTATTTCTTCGTTCACTATTATTTTGCAATGAAGATAGGTTACAATAAATCCTAGCAATGTTAGTTTTTCTATACAGCACCATAAAAAAAATTACAATTTCTTTGTCTGAAGTGGGAAAATACACATTCATTATTCAATTTAATATTTCAATATGTATAAAAAATTGAACGAAATTTTAGAAAAAATTAACATACCATCTAATGTTACGTGAGGATGTGTATTCCATACACCATTCCTTTGACCCTACAATTATTTAAAAAAATTAATAAAATGAAATGAATACAATACATGCAGTCATATTTTTAAATATCATACAAGATAACCAAAAATTATTAATTATTCATAAAATGTCATAAATAGAAAAATTTGACAATTTAATGAAAAAATTATTAATTTTAACTACCTCCTCATAAAATGTCATAATACAATACAAAATTTTGATAATTCTTTAAATATAAAGCATTTAGCATCGCATTAGGAAATAAGTATTTGTAGATCAAACTTTGGAAAAATATTGTTTAAAGACTAGCTATATCAGGTTTAAATAAAGTTAAATAAGTAAAGTTGGGTTAAATAAAGTTAGTATAATAATTTAATAATGAGTTTTGGTTCAAAACAGACAGATATAAACCTATAGTTTTATGCATTGCTATATGTTAATTAAATCTGGATATGCTTGAAAACAACAGACACACATACACAAAATCATTTAAAAAATATTTAATATCTAATATTTTTTGATAACATGTATATGTAAATATATACTGAGGTTGGTCAAAAAGTAACTCATGATTTACTGTAACTTGATAATGCTAACTAAGCACTAAATAAATTAAATTTTGTAAGTAGATTTGTTCTTTGCCACTTAATCAATTTCCAATTTTTATTCCCTCTTGTTGCAAGAAAGCTATCATGGTTGATCAACTACACCAATGTGAGATGATTGAACAAATCCTGATATAACTTTGCAACATCAATTTACAGCTGTTGCTCTTGCTAGTCTATGGGGATAAGTAATGAATCAAAGTAATGTGTCTTTAGAAGCAATGACTTCAGAAGCAAGTGTGTGCAATGACTTCAGAAGTTTTGGTGTAGCAAATACAACATCTAGGACCAGCTACAATAAGGTAGACTGTCAACCATCACAACCATTGAAAAGGCTGAAATCAATGTAATTCACCCAAAATGATAGATGCATCACCATAAGGCAGATCACGTACTACACAAGTGGAGCTAAAGGATTCATGTTTATGCTAATCCAATGACTTGATACTCAGGACAAAAAAATTGTGCTCAGTTCCATAGCTCTTGATAAGTTGATGCAAATCAGGAACCATATGTATGATGACCTATAAATTTTCTCTAGGGATAGTCCATACAGCTTTCATGCAATCATCACATAATGAAACTTGGCTGTTTCATTTCAATCCTGAGAGTAAAAAGAAATTAATGAATGGAGACATTGAGGATGTCCAAGTTGAAAGAAACAACAATTTGAGTCATAGAACAAAATATGGTGATGGCTTTTTGGGATCAAATGGGGTTGATTTTCATTCAATTTCTCAAACCAGGAATAACCATTGCCAAAGGACAATATTGTTTATCCTTGGATACACTGCAGCATATTTTACGAACAAAGAGATAAGTATCACACAAAATGAACATCAAATAGAATAACAATACAATGTTATGAAAGTTCAGAAGATTGGCCGACTAGGATGGTATGGTGACACAACCCCCATGAAGTTTTCTATCTGTATAGACTTTTTACCTGTTTGGGTAATAATAATCTTTTAATTGGCTTTCACACTATGAAGGTTTATCTGCATGAGAAAAAGTTTTGAGATGACAATGAGTTCATTGCATGTGTGCAATGATCAACTTGAAGAGTCTTATAAACGTGCATTAATGTCATGAAATCAAAGATGACTGCAATACAACAAAATAAATGGGTCATATACTGAGTGATACTTCCAGAGAACTGAAGCTTCACTTTAAAAATTTCATTTTCTAATGATTATCATTATTCAGTTAGTAGACTATGCCTTACTTTTTGACAAACCTTTGTAGTAAAAAGAAAAAACAAAATTACCTCAACATCAGAATCAGATGTGCGTGGACTGCTTTCAGGACTAGAACAAGGTGTACCACCAGGTTTAACACTTGTGAGTGCTTTTAGTTTGTCATGAATTCTTTCTAAGTTGGATATTTCCTATTTACACAAAATCACACTCATATATGACAGGATATTATATACACAACTTTCATAATGTTTATTAACTCTGTTTTACGAGTCACGACTACACACTTAAAGCAAAATACACCAAACTGATAAATTTTAATTATGTTCTTAATGTATCTCACAATAAATTAAAATTTTTTCTAATTATTTATGTATTTAAATGATATTTCATCACATACTGATTTATACACAGAGGTATTATTACTATGAGACAAATTTCAATGAAATTTCTAAAATTATTAAAATCTAACTGTAAACATCCAATTTCTACGTATCTTAGATAAATCAATCGAAAAAATACAATGGCACATACAGTAAATAAAAATATAAAAACAGTAAACAAAACATACAGAGTAAAGAAAATAAGCTTTATACAATAATATACCTTCATGGTCAAAATTATTACCTTTTTGTACTTTGTATTTTTGTTTCAATATAAAATAATTTATACTACTATTATTTAAATTTTCAGAATGTATGATGATTACAATTTAATAAATTACCTTAAATCGCAATAATTTAGAAGAGGAAAAAATTTCACATTTTCTTATACTTTTAACTGTAATAAAAATATGATTGAAAAAATACAAACATAATTACTTGACGTAATTGCTCTGTAAACACTTGTAACTGGCTCTCACACTTTAATTTTTCTTTTTCCATTTGAGCAACAAGAGACTGCTTCTGTTTAGATATTTCATTCAGTTCTATCTGTAATAAATTGCACATTAAATAAATTTTAAACAATAATAATAAAACGGTTTCATGTACAGAGCTTATAAAAAACTGTTAAAAAAATTTGAAAGTTTTCTGATTTTAATAAGCCTTTACCATATTTTAATATGGTAAAATTAATTCATTTAAATTTCTATATTAAATTTTAATATGGCTTAGCAGTAGTAATTATCAATAGACATGGCCTAGGTGGAAGACTAGAACATTTTATAGGATATTATATTATACATTTAGACAAACATGTTATGTATGGATATGTTATGTATCTTCTGCATATGTAAAAAGTGAAAAAATATGTAATAGAATTCTATGAAAATAATGTTTTTAATTATATATATCATGAATTAACTACATTTTCATTTAAATCATTCAGATTAAATAATAAACAAAAAATTTTAAGAACTGCATCTATTGCTTTTAAATAGTTTCAGATAAATTAAATACAAAAGAATAATATCTTACATTTTTTTAAATGAAAGCAAATGCAAATGAAAAGTGAATCAATGCAAAATTGTATTTCTAGACTAGCCTAAAAACTTAGAAATCTGTGTATACGAGAGTTTGCATTTATGAAAAATTAACAACATAACCTGAACATTTAGAGAATTAGAGAACTTAAAATGAACAAATTCAAAACGAATGAATTCTAAATTAACTGCTTACATTAATTTACTGGCACTTTCAATATAATAAAATTCTCTAGGTATTTTAAGATTATTTGTCAAATTTTATGACTATTTCAACATATAAAATTATCAAAATCATAATTTTCTGTATAGAAAATATGACAATTTAATTTTTAATAACAAAAAGCTCCTATTTGTAGTCAATTTCCTAAAAACTAATTCAAATAAAAAGAATAACCTTTTTGTGGCCTTTCATTAAAAATAGAGAGTGAAGGAAACACAAGTTGTCTCTTTTTTTTTCATACCTGCCTTTGAGCTATGGTTTCTTTAAAACATTCAATTTCTTGACTTAGTTCTTCTTTTTCTTCTTCTTCATGTGCCTGAGATTCCAGCTGCTGAAATTCAAGATCTTCAAATGCTTTCCTCTCTATATCTAGTAGCTCAGACTGTGCTTGCAGCTCATGAAGTTTGGATGTTATTTCAGCTTCATTAATGGAATTAGGCTGAATTGAATGTAATTCATTTTGAAGATCTTCTACTAATTTTTCCTGCTGCTGAACTTTGGCTTTGGCAGCTTCAAGCTATAACATTAAAAGATGAAATTTAAATGATGAATAAAAATACAGTTCGTTTTCTAATCGTAAAACCGTAACATAAGTTTTCAACTTATATAAGTAAATTATTTAAACCCTATTGACCTAACTCCATATTACTCATATAAGTAAATTAAAACTCTATACTAAATTAAAATCCTATATTAAAACTAAAACCCTATATTAGTTTTATAAGTAAAATAATCCAAATCCTATGCACATATAGGTACTTACGTATTAACGCAACCAGGCCAAAATTCGCAAAAATCGCCAAATTTGGCGACCCTACTTACGGCAACCCTACGTGTTTAGACGAAAGTTTATTTGTAAAAAGAAAAAATAACACTGGGCGTGTACTAGCACAGCAATGGGTTTTTGGCGGAATTTGCCGAGAAAAGAAAGAGACTTTTTTGGTTACTGTACCTAACAGAAGCGCCGTTACCCTCATGGAAAAAATTTGCAAAAATATCAAGGAAGGAAGCATCATTTATTCGGATTGCTGGAAAGGATACAATACAAGTGAGTTCGAAAATGCTGGATTTCTGCATGAACTGTTAATGACAAATATAACTTTGTGGATCCGAACACGGGCGGTTCACACACAACATGTAGAGCGCATGTGGGGCTCAGCCAAATGGCGCAACAAAAAACAGAGAGGAACAGCCCGTCATCATCTTCACTCATACCTTATCGAATTTATATGGCGCCAAGCTCAAGCTGTTAATGGCGAAGACGGTTTTCAATCAGTGCTAAAAGTAATAGCCAAAAGATTTCCGCCGAAAAAATAATTCTGCAACTTAATTCAAATTCGAAAGCGGAAGGGTTTAATTGCTATTTTATATTTTAAAACAAAATATAAAAAACTGTATTAAAAATTATCTGTAATTAATAAATGTACATTTTTATTCTATTCATACTTTTTTACGCAAACTTACAAATCGAACCAACCTGGTTGCGATAATATGTAAGTACCTACATATATAATCAGATCAAAATATGAACAAGCTATCACTCATACACTCTTGGACAAAAAAAGAAATGACACACCATGATGCACCGAGAAGATATAAAGCAAATTTGACACAAATTGATATGCATACAGGTTTTGACGGAAAATGCAAAATTTTACATTTTGGCTGCCAACGAATGAACGGTTGTCACTACAGCACATCTGATCTGCGCAACTGGCAGGATATTTAAGAGGAGAAATTACGATTAAATTCTTCATGAATTTCATTCCGTGTACTCTGGTAGACAGTAACTATGTCTCGCTTACAGGTGCACGAACGATATGCACAGATGTCAGAATTTGAGAGAGGTCGTGTAGTTGGGCTCAAAGAAGCCGGTTGGTCTTATTGGCGAATAGCTCGACATTTGAGCAGGAGTGGTGCCACTATTAGACGATGTTGGCAGGAATGGGTGAACCATGGCCACACACAGCGTCAAGAGGGAAGCGGCAGGCCTAGAGAAACGACAGAACGTGAAGACCGAGCAATTGTCAGAGCGGCACTCACAACTACAGATCCATCATTATCATCGATTGTACGTGCAACTTGTGCTTCAGTGACCGCAAGGACCATTCATAGACGGCTCAAAGAAAAGGGGCTGAGGTCACGGCACCCCTTATGTCAACTACCATTGACCTCTGTACAATGTCAAGTCCATTTGCAGTGGTGTCGAGCTCACTCACACTTGAACGTACACTCACACTTGAACGTCACTGACTGGAGTAGAATAGTCTTCAATGATGAGTTCCGCTTTGAACTGAGCCTCGATGACCAGCAATGGCGAGACTGGAAATGCCCCGGACAGCGATGTGATACCAACCTGACTGTCTTCCGGCAGACAGGCCAACAACCAGTAGTGATGGTCTGGGGTGTCATTTGATTTCATAGTAGGACCCCTTGGGTTGTCATCCGTTGCAACCTTACAGCACAGCGGTACGTCGACGAAGTTCTAAGGCCCATTGTGTTGCCCTTCATGTAATGCCACCCTGGGCATACATTTCAGCAAGATAATGCCCGCCCCCACACTGCACAAGTTTCTACTGTTTGCCTTAGTACTTGCCGAACATTACATTAGCCAGCAAGGTCACCGGATCTCTCTCCTATTGAGCTCGTTTGGAGCATTATGGGCAGTGCCCTCCAACCAGCTTGGAATGTTGATGATCTAATGTGCCAGTTGGACAGAATTTGGCACGACATCCCTCAGGAGGACATCCGCAACCTCTAACAATCGATGCCAAGGTGAATAACTGCTTGCATAAGGGCCAGAGATGGACAAACGCGTTATTGACTTTTTCACTTTGTAAAGCTCTATCACTTCAATAAATCATCCAATTTTTCTCCAACTGTTAATCATTTGATTTTCTGTACATGTACATCACTTCTACCGATTTCCGTCCCATTTGGATAACTCCTTCTTGGTGCGTCTTTTTTTTTTTTTTTTTTTTTGTCTAAGAGTGTATATTGCTTAATATTTCATGAAATGTTTTTATTGTAATGTAATATATAATGTTGCTGTGATATTTACAAAACTGTACTGTATTTAATATCACAACTTAAAAAGCAGGATTTTTCTGAAAAACATTTTTGGTACAATGGAGTGGGGGGGGAAGACACTTTATTTTAAATTCTTAATACAAGTTACAAGACTATTGTGTCTTTTTTTTTTTTAGTCCAAAGGGATTTGAATCCCGAAGGACTATTAGTTTCATTTTGGCATTTTGCGTCGGACTCATAAATGTCGGTTCACTTTTCAAACTGTTGCCACAAAATGTTAGAGTCCTGCATTATATTTGAAGAAATTAAATAATGAAAAATCTGCATAAATGTATGTATATTTCTCGTATTGTGACAAAACAACGGTACATAGAGTCATCGAATTTTGAATAACGTAATCCTCCAACGAATATGAGCATGTGGAAGACCAAATTTAAAATTTGAAATTTGTTTTATGATCGATTTCCTATTTTTTAAAACTTTGACGAATTTTTGATTAACAAACTCAAGGATTTCAAAGCGAGCAATGGCAACGTTGTGCAGAAAAAACATTTTTATCTCCAGCGCGTGAGTCTCTGTATTGGAAATTCTAAAGATATGCTCGTTTTAAAACTATTTTGCGATATTGCTGTTGCACTGGATCTTATGGTTTAAGTGCGAGGAACATGATATTTAATAAAGAAAGGTAACACACAAAATGTTAAAAAACGCCCCTTTGGACGAAATTTAAAATCTGAAACATTTCAGATTTTGTTTATTTTATTTTATTTTATTTTTTATTTATTTATTTATTTATTTTTATATATAAATTATACTCAGGACAAGATTAATCTGAAAATGCTGGAAAATGTATAAATAATGTTATGTTTGATAGGTGATATATCTGGGTTCCTGGGCTGGGCTATTTGAATATGGCAAAGCACATAAAGGCTGTCTATCTAAGGGAAGGGATGCCTTCATAGATAGTAACTAGTTTTATTTATTACATGCTCCACCAGCCGAAACACTATAATAAGGCACGACATGGCCAGTCCAATCTCCTTCCCCAATCCTTGGAGAGTACTTGCACTAATCGCCATATGCTAACATCAGTCATTAATTTGCTACCTGATAGTTGCTCGGGCTGCCCATCGCAGAGGGACATTATCCAGCATACCCGTTACGCTACCACCGGGGTACTAGAGCTGTTCCACTCTAGGACATGCAAGACCACCAGGCCGGCCAATAAGTGACCTTTCCAGGGCCTCCAGCACTTTGTGGGAGCTTTCTAAAGGAAACTGATTTGAATTCATGTTTCACATGGGGTAAACAACAAAACCATGCACACAACTCATTTGCCTGGAATCGAACCCAGATAAAACTTCAGTATTCAGCAGTAAAACAGTATTCAGCAGTCCTAACTCCCCAGCCTCTTGTTGAATGTGATACATTCAGATAATATACTTTTGCAGTTAACAGATATATATTAATATTTAAAAAATTTTAAATACATTAAAATAAATTCTAAAAATACACAACAGCAATTAATATTTTCACATTTTTATATTTAGAAAATCATATGAAATACATTCTCCTATTACAGAAAAAGAAAATAAGGGTAAAAAGTACATAATTGTTATTTTGTAAATTCTTTTTATATAGTATTTTATTTTAAAACTCTGCGACATTCTAATTTGTTTCTAGCCCCCACCGCAGCACAAAAAGAAATTATTGAGCCATTACTTCTTGATCAGATACAAAATTATGATACTCTATATTAATTTTTTTCACCACTCTTCACAAGAAAATCATGAGTTTATTTAGAACTAGCTCTAATGATATTAAAAAAAAAAAAAAAAAAGAAAAGAAAAAAAAGAAACAATTTTAAGTTCTGCTCAAAAGAAATTCTAAGAATTACTTGAATACATATGTCAGCTGAAAGATAGAAGCAAAAAGAATTTCTTTTAAGATTTGAACAATATCAGTTAGCAGAAAAATTTTTTCCACTACATATAAAAGAAAAATGAGTAAAATTTTGTTTCCTTTTTCAAATGGCAATTTTATAACTTTTGCATCTAGCATAAGATACAAGTCCTAATCTTTATTAATAATTTCATAATTCAAAATCTCTTAATTCCCTTCCTGAATGCAACTTAAATAAAATTTTAAGTTATCAGTTACTTTTTATAATAATATTTAAGTGATCTAACATTATACCCAATACAAAAAAACATTATGCATTAATTTACAAAGACAATGAAAAGATTTTTCAGCATTCAATTATCAATTTGTATTTCTATTACTAAAAAAAATAAAATTTTTTATTTACCTCTTGTTGTGTTACTTCTGATTTTTGCTCAAGAGATAATTTCTGTTTCTGTATTTCAGCCAGTTTGTTACCTTCAAATATTTGCAACTGTTCCTTTTCTTTATATTCATTAGCTATCAGTGCATGTTCTAGCTGAAGCTAAAATGAAAAATATGTACCAGAACAAAAAGCATATTAATAATCGCATTCAAATAGGAACATATTTTAAAGATTTAGAATATTAAAAAATCAAAATCACCTCATTCAGAATTTCATTTTTTTGACAATCTAATTCTGATACTTTAATCTTTATTGAAGTAATAGCTTGCAAACACTCCTGCTTTTCTTTTTGCAACTTATTAATTTCATCTCCGAGATCTATGCTGATCTACATACAGAAATAAAGTTTTTAGCTTTCAAGGAAAACTAAATCAAATTAAAGAAAGAGATTACAAAAAAAAAAAAAAAAAAAAAAACTATGCAATACAATAAATAAATAAATGAAAGATCTAACTATTTTTTTAAATGAAGGCTAAAATTGTAGGGTTTATATTTATTTTAACTAACATTTATTTTAAGTTTAAACTATCTTTCCTGTCAAGCCTTACTTTCCCCTGGAACTGCCAATGCCAGAATATGTAAATTTTAGTAGAACGCGCAAGGATTCAAATTATCAGCGGAAGTATTATGATTTAAATAGAAGGAAACAAGTTCGGTGTGTGATATTCTTACTTCACGAGCGCGGAGGTAGTTAGCGAGAAATTGAAGAACCCCGCGTTGCGGCCTATGTGCTTGGCGGGAAGTAGTGTTAATCGTTCAAGTGAGCTTCAAGTCTGCTGAATTAGCAGCGGTATTGTAAAACGCGGTGAGTTAGTTATTTTAGAGAGCCTCGTAGTTAGAATCTTGTCTTTAGTTTCTTTTCAGGTTATTATTTTTATTTGACCGCCAAGTAGGTGCCGTCTGTAAGCGTCAAGAGCACGCAATTGTAATTTTTTACGTTGTATAAAAAGGGACTTAAACCCTTCACAAGATTCTATCTTTTATACAGTTTCCACAGTCACCCCTTGGTTGCGTGCAAGTTAGAGGCGCGCAACGTTATAAAATAAAGCTAAAGAAATATAAAAAAATAAAAATCTGTAAGCTTTCAGATTTTATATTATGTCCAAAAGGGTCATTCATTTAAAAGTTTTACAACATATGAAATAGATAATAAAACAAATTCAAAATCCAAAATTTGGGCTTCCAGGTGCCCGTATTCAGGTGGAGAACTACATTATTGCAAATTTGATGGCTCTAGGTACAACTGTTTTTTCACAATGCGAGAAACATACACAAATTCATGTAGATTCTTCATTATTTAATTTCTTTAAATAAATACAGGGCAATAGTATTTGGTGCCAACAATTTGAGAAGTGATTCAATGCTTTTAGTGATTCAGTGCAAAATGTTGTTTCGAGACTAATAGCCTTCTGAGCTAATACCCCTTTGGCCTAAAAAATTATCCTGTACTTCTTACCCAAAATACTTCAATCTCATCATACCACAGCAAAAAAATAAATAAAACAATCCAAGCTGAAACTTGGCCAAACAGTAGAAAAAAAAAAAGGTTAAATCTCTAGAACTAAATATGTTTTTCAAAACTTTACAGAATAGCTAAATATGAAGTACTAAAAAAATGAACTAATTAAAGCAAAATTTAAACAGATACTTGTTTTTTATACCAGCAGTTAAGATATTTGCATACTTTTTTGGGGGGGGAGTGTGTGTTGATGTGAGAAAGAGTTATTTTATTATGCATAGATTTTTTATAGGGAAAAAAACTAGCATTTTTTTCTTAAATATTTAATGATATATTTTTAGATACCTTATGATAAATCTGATGATCTAAATGTTACTCTTTTTGCAAAGATATGAGCATTAATAACTACGGTAAAGACAATGACTAAGGTATCTGAACCAATTACTGACCAAGGTATCTAAACATGTATATTTCATTGCAATAAATTACATATAGCAGATACACTTTTCACCAAGATTAAATTTTCCTACAGATAAGATGATACTGGAAATAAACACTTTGCTGTTTAAAAAAATATATATAAAATAAATTTCTGATATGATTATAGAAATAAAATTTGGAGTGAAATAGCACCGATGAATTAAATCAGTGGAATGAAATACTGCCCACAAACTGCCGATGCACTGATGAATAAAAATATACTGCAGTTTATAATGGAAAAAACTAAATATGACAAATATAAAAGAATAAAACTAAAGTTATTTATTAGCCCTCCCCCTACTCACACAAATCCCCCCCCCAAAAAAAAAACATTGACCACAAAGTGCCTGCTTTTGGGTTACTGCTCTCTGGTAGAGATGGACAATCCACTCCAAAACTGATTCACTTTACTGAGCAAATGATCTCCAATCCAGCCAAAATGGAATGGTAGTTCTTGAACACTTCACAGAGAGCTCTTGTTGGGAAGCATGCCAAAAATTTGATTCCTCATATGTAAACACTAGCATTTTTTCCTTTATTATTTACTTTAAATGACATGGACATTTTTTTTATGTGTGTGTTATACATGCATATATGCGTGCCTTTGGTCAGCTTGTGTTCTGTCTATTATTTAAAAAACAAAACATTAATTAAACTGATGCATCTCAGCGAAACTGACCACCCCTGTTTGCAAATGGATGGAGTATTTCTTCCCAACTGGGAGTGCAAGGATCTGTTTAAAGTATGAGGATTATAGGTGCTCAGTTTTCTCCTTGGATTCTCAGCTGTCACTGCTCTGGCACTTCCTTCTCTAGTTGAAGATCTGAGTCCTTTGGAGGCTTGATTATTCGTTCTTTTCATTGCCCCTTCTTGAGCCGCAAATACGGTTGCTATGGAATATTCATTATTCGCTCTTTTCATCCCTCTACCACTTCACCTCTAGCTGCAAATCTGGCTCCTACGGAGTCTTAATTATTTGCTCTTTTCGCTTCCTGAAGGCTCTTTATTTGAGTTTAATTTCAATACTTCAAATAATGTGTCACAGCATAGCTATGCATATTAGGTATTACGTTTTTTATACAATATTACTATAACATTTATGTATAATAATAAATTATATTTACATCTTGTAGTCAAGAGCTGTTAATTTCTATTTAATGTTCTTTAGAATTGGTTTATACTTATAAATATAAATTTTTCCATCTAATGTATTTTTTCAAGGTTGCAGAACAAAATGTCAACCCTACCACATAGAAGAACATCGAGCGATATTTGGTATCATTTTGTCAAATTAGATAAAAAAGGAAAATCTCAGTATTGTCAGCAAACAATTTCCTGTTCTTTGGTATATGCCTCCAATCTAAAAATTTATTTTTACACTGTGCTTTGTAGTAGTAACCAAATAACAATTATAGTAATAAAATAATGTAATCTTTAATAAAAGTGAGTTTAATTTTCATTAATTTTAACTTTTTTAGTATTTTTTTTATTCCAGAATTTTACTGTTGTTCTATGTAGAAAGGTGTTCTTAGGGAATCTCTAAAGTACAATTGAAAGAAATCAGTCCAAGTGAGCAGTTTGATTCCACCGATTCCATTCCTTGTTTGATTCTTCCTGCTTTTACCCCCCTCTTTGCACATCGCTCTTGATCAACGCCTATTCCGAGTACATTCCTCAAGGTCATTGTTAGTGAGGGTGAATTGTTAAAAAGAACTGATTCACTTCAGAGTGTGAACACTTCCAATCTGACCCCTTAAAGGAATGTTTTCGCCAATCTCTACTTTTAAAAGCTAATGAAGCCCCGTAAGTGACAAACTACATTAACAAATATTAATCATGATATTTTTACGTACATAGATATGCATCTTGAAATGTATCTAGATGATTAAAGTAATATATATATATTGGAAGGAAAGCAGTCAGGGCACAAATATGAAGTCATTTTGGAATTTATAATCAAGAAAATACCACTGATTGTAAGTTCTTTTAGTTAACTTTACAATTTGGAACCAAACCCTTGCCCACTTAGAAGATAAATACAATTTTAGAACATCACAGAGATTGAAGAATATTAGAAACATATCTTAAAAGTAAATGCTGCCAAATAAATACTTAAATACACTTTTATATGAAGAAACTGATATTGAATACCATATTTTGAACACATTATAAATTGATATTGTAAAAAAAAAAAAAAAGCTCGCATTAAAATTAAGCAGTCCCCCCTCTCAAAATACAATTTTATTGGTTGATATTGAACATCTCATCATAAATTTTAAAATGAAAGTAAAGTATTTTTGCACATAAAACTAACACTGCATTTCACAGTCAAGATTTGTGCACATAAATTAGATAAAATGAACATTTTTCTCTCCACAGTAAGTCAAGACATTCAGATTAAGTACTCCATCTTAATAGAAAAGTGGCCAGTGTCAAAAACACTTGAAATTTAAGATTTTTGCATCAATCTTATAAAAATTATGAATGTAATCGAAAGGGAAATAACCCACATCTTTCTGATATAATTATCTGAATTATATACTTTCTCAAAAGCCTAATATGATATGCACATCAAAATAAAAAAGGCTGTAGTAACAACATTATGTCATCCTGATCACTAATAGTGATTAGTGACATTAGCAGCCACATTTTGGAAACAGAATTCAAATCCCACAGAAAGCTTGGATGTTTGTAAATGTATAGCATTGGTGGTACATTGGGACAGTTAAAATACTGGTAAGAAAAAGGTCCTCTCAACAGGCCTGGTGGTAGTAGGGAAAGAGGAGTGAAAAACCTTCTGATCAATCTCCTGATATACTCTCCATTAAAACTGGGATGGAGTTGTACAGTAAATGAGATGGGACTATATCTACAAAACTACTGGTGTGTCCTGTTTTTCTATTCTATTCAGCATTTTTTGTGATACGCGCATATTAAATAAAAATAAACCCTTGGGCAAATATTTATGTGAATATTATATTCATGATCTAATAACTATTCAAAACTAAAAGTTTTCCCATAAACTTGCAAATTGGACTCTTTTATATCACGATACAGAAGAATTTCAAATAAATGGCAATTATTAAAAATTTAATAACAAGCATTTTATCATATAAGCTTTCATTCTATTTTAAAGATTCCAGAGCACATTATTGAAAGATTTAATAAATTATGCTTTCAATGAAATATGTAAATCAAATTTAAAAGAATACAAACATACATGATTTAATGACTGGTAGTTGGCATTTATATACTTTGCTCCATCGAAAAGTTCAAGTTTACTTTCAGAAGGATTAGGAAGTCTATCTGATACAGGAAGATTCAATGATAAGTTCTTCCTTGCACCAAGATCACTTAAGGCCATTTTATTTTCATACACTTCAGGACCCCTCTCCCGGTGGTTAATAACTGTCTTTATACGGGTCCTTGGAGAATGTGGATATGTGAGAAAAGCTGTGCCCATACATGGACTACTTGGACTACATTCATTACTAGGGCTTTGCTTAGAAACTGAACTATTTCCTAAGATGGCACATAGTTCATCCTCAGATGATGCTGAGTTCAAAGCCTTATGATTAACAAATGTTGTAGCACCATTATTACTTATTATGTTATCACTACCTGAAAGTGAACCAAAATTCTGTGGCTCATTAGTTGGAGATAACTGCAGATTCCCACGATCACGTGGTAATGAACCATTAGTTTTTATCCTATTTGGAACAGTATGATAGCCACTAGGTGATATGAAGCTTGAAGAGTTACTCTTTATGCTTATGCTATTCACAGAAGGTGATGAAATTGGATTTTGCAAATTTTGAGAAGCAAGAGGAAGGGTAGAATATTTTAGAACACCGTTGCATTTGGAATCTTCTGAAGAATAACCTTCAACAACAGAATCAGATTTAGAACTAATGACTTGGGAAGTATCAGAAGAATTTGTAGATGCTGGGAGTGATGAATCATTTGAAACAGAACTAAATTCACCAGATGAAGATGAAGATGCAGGATCTTTGCTCTCAGCAATAAGTTTATTCTTGCTAAGTCTTTCCTTTTGGGCTTGTTCTTCATATTCAGCACATAAATGAAGAATTTCTTCAAGGCGTAATCTTTCTTGCTTCTCCTGCTCCTGATCTTTTAACCTTTCTTGAACAGCCTAAAAGATAAACATTTATTAGCAATGCCAAGAAATTAAATTTAAGAAAAAAGTTAATTTTAAGCAAATAAATTTTCTTAAAATATTTAAGATCCATCATTATTATTATTTTTTTTTTTTTTTTTTTTTTTTTTTTTTTTTTTTTACAGGAAGAGCAGACTTTTAAAAATCTATCTATATAATCTTAATTTTTAGCATCAGGAACCACATGCATATAGCTGCAATTTATATCAACATTATATCTACATTCTGTCTTGGAAAAAGAGTGAAAGAAAAAATATAATACAAAAATGAAATAAAATTAAATAAACATGTTAATTTATAGTTAATAAATTACGAATAAATTTAATTTTAATAAAAAAAGCAATGTTAGAACGACACAGATTTTAAATATAATCATAATAAACACTTATGATTATACAACAGAACGTAACTTAAAAAATTTTTGTACATCGCTAATCACTAAACATGGCTCTCGACTTACTGGGTTGCAACCCATACTTAGAGAAAAACTAGTATTTGATGTACAATCTGTAATACTTTGGAAATCACCACACACAGTTTAAGAAAAGGGGGAGAGCTTGTAGAGTCATTAGGTTATTTTAAAGCTCGAAGACATGAGATATGTGCAATGCCCTTGCTAGGATTCGAACCTGTACCACTCATAGATGCACCGAGAGTGCTACATTACACTAAAAAGGCATGCAGAAAGGAGGGAGAAAATACCTTATATACTCCTTCTTTTAAAGGGGGGCTGGGAATTAGGGGACCCAATCGCCAAATCCTGGTGATAAAGAATCATCATCCACCACCTTTTAATTCAGGTGCCACCGTTGAGTTATTTGGCTATTTTGAAGCAGGAAGACATAAAAATGTGCATTTTCCTCACCGGGACTCGAAACTGAACCTTCGAATACGCGCCAAATGTGCTACCGCTACACCACGAAGGCATGCAGAAAGGAGGGAAAAAATACTTTATAAGCTCAATGTAACAATTAACATAAATAAGCAAAAATTTTATTGCTATCTGCAGCTCTGTTAGACGTTAGCACATTATCAAAGCACTGGTATTATAGTGGTGAAGGCAAGAGAAGTGTAATGATTTTAGCATTTGCATGAAAAATGAAAGATCAGGCTCAATATAAATATCCTAACACAGCAAACAGGAATGGAATGAAAATTGTATTATAAACAAGATTTCTCCACAGGAAAATTTCAGATACTTCCTAAAAATTACAAACTGAGAGGCAAAGTAGAGCAAGCAATAACTATGGCTTCCAAAATATGCAATTTGTGGTTAAAGCTATAAAAGATTTTCCATCTCCTTCTAATTAACATATCATGATGCTTACCTTGAATTTTAAAATCTGCAGGTTTGTCCTATACATACATTACCATATACATAACCCCCTCCCTCAAATAAATCACATAGAATTTCATAAATGTTTCATTAATGAATGTGCAGTATTCAGTCTTTTATAACTCAGAGCTAGTGACAAAGGCCTTCATTACCTTCAATTTTAAGTTCTCCAATTAAGGACACTTCATTTCTTTCTATAATATTGCCATTTTTTCTTAAACTCAGCCCTCTTGCTAAATGCTTCAAATAATATGGTGCTAGAGTTTCTTTTAAACCTGTCAATAGAATTATGTTCTCAGTGGTAAAATATTGAATATTAGAACTTCATTCATGGGGAATTTAAAAAATTTCTTCTGAATGTGGTCCCTGAAGGTCTTAAAAAATCTTAAAAACTCAGAATACTTATATCAAACAGAACGCACTTATATACCAAACAGAAGAGAGTGAGTAAGTCTTCACTAGTTTGCCTCCTCAATTTTGATTGCACAGAACACTTCCAAATTTTTTCTGCTAATAAATCCTGTTGATAACACATTCTGCTTCTATCAGAGAAAAAAGAAAACATGCTCCAAGTCACTTTCCTATCTCTCTCTCTCTCTCTCTCTCTTTTTTTTTTTTTTTTTTTTTTTTTTTTTTTTGTCAAAGTACTACCTTTACATCAAACACTATGTTATAACAAACCCTTTCTCTCAAGGAATGTGAAGGACATAAGTAAAACGGAGCTTCCTAGTACCACACCCACATACATGGAATTTTCTTTACAATGGTTGAGTGTAAATTTGCATATTTGGGGACAACTCTATGTGTACTTCAGAAAAGGTCAGAGACCTCTTCCCACCCTTTGGTAAAAAGGGCAGACTTTTCCCCATCATGGTTATCAGACAGTACAGACAGAGATTGGAATTCAAAGTGAAAGAACAGACACTGAGCCTTCTCACTGCATTGCAAAAATGATGCATTTGAAAAATTTTCCTTAATATAAATTAAATGCATTTAATTCTACATATAAAGCTGTATTAGGCCAGAAATGCCATCCAGATTATTTTGTTGGTGATGTTATAGCTTAATTGGCAGCAGCATGTTGATGACATCATACTAAGAATAAAACTGTTTGATACATGTAAAACAGTAGTAGGCCTTTTACATGTTTGATGCATGTAAAAGGCCTACTAATCAAACAAAAATGTGATGCTTTTGAAGAATCACCTTAGTTCTACACAATTTTAAGGAACCATCCATATTTGATGCAGTGTAATACAATCCTGCAGTTCTATGCAGTTTAGAGTATCATCTCAATTTATTTAGCTATTCTAAATATGATGAATGAAAATCATCCTGATGCTGATATTGTGGGAAGCATACCCATCCCAGTTCTCTTTGATTATTAAGCGATATATTTCAGAAAACTGCCCAGTTCTACATAAGACATTTTTTTATTCCTTCATTCATATTATGGTTTTAATATTCTGAAGAAAGAACTAGCATGGATCCGCAGAAAATTTGATGGGAGAAACTCTAACTCTATATTGAGGGAACCTTTTGATTCTGAAGATTGTGCAGATGCAGTGATTCAGTATCATGAATCTGCATCTAATGAAAATGATCAGATGGGGTAGGTAGTTTGATTATTACATCAAGGCAATGACCTATTGAGTTTTAACTCATAACAAGGGAGATATGTACATATATGCTATGGTATTATTGTATACTAATTACTCTCATACTGATAACATAGTATTAGATAATTGTTAAAATATAGCACAGAAAATTCAGCAGTATAGAAGCACAAAGCTTATTTTTTACTGTTGTGGAATTATTCAGTGTTAATTACTCTGGATGTAAGATCCAATCGTAACTGTAACTGTTGCGGTATTAATGTATATTGATTCTAATGTTATTCAGCAGCATAAGAATTGCTGACAATTTTTTTTATATTACTTTTTCATGCAAATAGAAATAAATTAGCACTGTTGTGATTATAAAATTTACATTTACTAAATTAAGAAGAGTTCAAATTCGTTTTAATAATGTTCTGATTACAGAATTAGAGTGCAGCAATATTATTGAGGTTGTGATCAAATTAGTTACTGTTACCTGCTGTTATTAGCATAGATTTGTATGAAAACTCGCTAAAAAAACAATTAATTAATGTTATAAAAGTAAAGGTACTGTGTGTTGAACAGTGCTTAAATTGTGCCGGAGCCCAGCTCCGGTGCTTCACAATTTTTAAGATAAATTACAATTTTAGCCGGAACGCACCGGAGCCCTAAATAAGATGAGCTCCATTACTTTTTTTTATAAATCTGAACCACAATTTAAAGGGAAAAAACTTAGAATTCCTAACATTTTAGTTTAACAATAAGCAGACTTTGCAATAGTCTATTTCCCTAGAAACACGAACTCATGAGAAAAAGAGACGTTCAAGTAAAGTCCCCTCACTCACATGCGGAAACCTTTTCCTTTAAGAAAAGCAATAAATTTGGGGGGAGTTTGTTTCGGAATGCTTAAATTTCTTGCCATGCCATTGTATCTAGTGTATTGTTATCGATGCTTACAGTTAGTTATCCTTGCAGGAAGGAAAATTTGTGTTCTTAAATGTGCGTTAATTGACAGGGAGTACAATAAGAGTGAAATATTGAGATAAACTGCTCAAGCACATCCTATACATCGCCTTCCCACAGTATCCACTGATGGGGGGGGAAGCGTAACCAGCAACTTTACATTTAGGAGTCCGATTCAGGACTCATTTACCCCTGACACCCATCTGCTTGATGGCTATAATTATATCAACAGAGAGCAGGGGTGAAAGAGAATGTTCTCTCTCACCAAAATTCCCCTCATTTTTTGTTTCCACCACTCATACCCTTATTCTGTTTTGCTCTGGAATTTTCATCAGCTATACTTTAAGTATATTTAATTTTTGTGATAATAAAAGAACTTCCCCCTGATCAGAACTTAAACTGGGCCGGAACCTACCGGATCTTGGCTCCGATGCTTCTTAGTTTTTGTAATAAATCATAATTATAGCCGGAACGCACCGGAGCCCTGAATAAGAAGGCTGCCACATTTCTTTTATGTAATTGAATAACAATTTCAGTAGAAATTTTATCTCAAAAATTTTATTTTAACAATAAAATTATATCAAAAATCGTGTATTAAATTTCAATTTATCTCTTCACATTTAATTTAATTAGTTAATTACTTCAATCTTTAATTATTTCAATAAATAATAATTATCAATGAAATATAATTAATTAATTATATAATAATTATTGATTAAATAACAATTTATAAACATTAATTAAATATATATTAATTAATTTTGATAATAATTAACTATTTAATTTTAAAATTATTAATGAGTTTAATAGTCATTTTATTTATTTATTTACTCTTGTTCCTCTATGCTGACGGTCTTCCATAGGGCTCCAGCACTTCTAATCTTAGAAATTAAGCCCTGGTGTTGAATTATAATAATATTAGAGATAATTTCAGTCATTCTGGGAAATGTAGAACTGATGCATATCAAATTCTTGTGGTATTAGGAATCAGATCAGTTTGTGATGTTTGCAAAATTACTGTGCAATGAAGTTTTTTATTGTTAACGATAACCTTGATATCATTATCTTTCAGATCAGTGTGTGATAGCAATTGTTCTAAGTAGCACAAAATTTTATGGCTAAAATGCCATTTTTGGGTTAAAAAAAATTGACTTATACAACCTAGCAGTAGAATTAGTGAAGGAGGCTACAATGAATTTAAAGCTTGTGTAGCTAAAATTTCTGATTCAAAAAAGTGCAGCATATGGGAAAGAGTTTGCTAGGGGTGTTTTTGAAGGAATAATGATATGGAGACTACTGATTCTGACACAATAAAAGTCTTAATGGCTACCAATCAAATAATGCATTAAGTCAGAAGCAAGGTCAAAAACATCCACTGGATGACTGGATAAAGGTTATCTCAGCAGCCAAGCTGGCAGATATGCTTGATGACTACGAAGATGTCAGAGAAATTCAAAAGAAATTGAAAGAAATAAGATTATGAAAACCACACAGGAACGAGAAAAATTTGATTGCTTCTAATAAAAAAGAGAAAAGGAAGAGAATACATATATCCCCATAAAAAAAATTCTGGCTTAATGCGGGGCAGTCATAATAAGGTATTTGAAAAACGAAGACCTCCAAAATGAGACTCAAAATGTGGCTCAGAGAAGCACCTTAAGACTACAGAGCCTGAAACCTTTAAAAGATAAATGATAAGCACCAACTATCAATATGAAAGAGCAGACGAATTACTGTCTCCGTTTACCTTGTAGAATCATTAGGTGTTTTAAAGATGCAGAAGACATGAAAAATGAGCAACGCCCTCGCTGGGACTCGAACTTGGACCTCTCGAATACATACCGAGTGTGCTAACCATTACAACATAAAGGCATGCCGGAAAGGAGGGAGAAAATACCTTATATACTCCCACTCCCCCTTTTATAGGAAGACTGGGGATCAGGGGACCAATTCGCCTAAATTTGGTGTTGGAGAATCATTATCCACCACCTTTTAGTTCAGGCAGCACTGTAGAACCATTAGATTTTTTTTTAAAACAGGAGGAATGAAATTACCAATGTTCTCGCCAGTACTCGAACATGGAGGTTTTGAAGACACAGTGAGTGTGCTAACCGTTACACCACAAAAGCATGCCAGAAGGAGGGATAAAATATCTTATAACCTTGGCTGTTCAGTAGTAACCCTCAGGTGCCGTTGTGTGTTGCTCGCTTCACACGGCAATTAGTGAAAATTCAAATAATGACCTTATAACCTTTCACCCCTAGTGATTTTTCATCTTATAACCTTGGATGCGTGCATAAATGGCTGCCCTATAAAACTACTAATAATGGCGCAAGCACTGATTTAGCGAGTCATAATTATATTGGCTCAGAAATATTTATGCATGAAAATATGTGGATAAGAAGACCTCTAGATATGAAAGTAAAATGTCTTCTGTTAGCAAGTGAGGAGCTTGAAATTAAACATTTTGCCATCAATCAAAGCCAAGCTGCAATAATCAGAAAGGAGTAAGACTGTGGTATGTATATCCTAAGAAACTAAACCATGGATACATTAGGGTTACAGCTGCCAAGAATTGTAAGAGAATTACTATTATTAATACTCATTGATTATTACTTAGTAATTATTACTTACAGTTATTTATTACTTTGAGATGTTTTGAAATTTTGAGTGAGGATTGAGAAGTTTGCTGTAAACTGAATGCTGATGATTATTTGTGGAACTTTGAAATTCAAAGAGGAATTAAATGTTAAAAAGAACTCCCAAGATTTACTTGTCTTCATTAGCCACAAAAAAAAAAAAAAAAAAAAAAAAAAAAAAAAGGCTGCCATTTATTAAATCTGAAAACCACACAAAGAAACATTCTCAATGTCAAGCCATGGAATTGTACATCTTATAACTGAATTGTTGCTTATTGACAAGGCGTGGAGTGAAGTCTGAAAGCTGGGACAGAAAATACATCAGAATCAGTATACATATTGGTTGGGTGCTCAGTCGGGAAAACCTAGTTTAACTCTGGTACTGCACCTCATGTAGAATTATCCGTTTGCCATCTGTATCATCCATCTGCCAAGAATGCCCTCAAAGGCACCCAATGTAAGTGCAGCATATGTCGACAGTGATGAGGCCATTGCAAAAGACAAATATTTTTTTATTATGCAATCTTTTGTCTCCATCGAGGGCTATGGAAATGCATGACGCTTGTTATCCAAAATGGGACTGTGTCTCACAGATTTGCCATCATTGCTTTTGAACCAGCCAAATATATGACAATACTGCTTAGAAAACCATTTAGTGAAAATTAATGGATTGTGGACAGACTAAATAGATCTGCTACTTAATCAGATTTGGCTATTTCTTAAAAGTGAGAAGAACGACTGATAACATTTTTAGAATAACATAGCATAAGATCATAATTTATACTGCCATATATTACTTGCAACCTTATATTATTTTTTCTGTGTTATTATGATGTGGTAAAAGTATTAGTGCTGATGCTTAGAAAAATCATCATTATTTTTCTTCATTGTTCCTTATTAAACTTACGATTTTTACTACTTAATTTTGTATCACTCACCTTGGTGTAATAGGGCATGTCTGTATGAATTTTTTATACATGTATGTAAATTGATTCATAGTTTAAATCCATGTATTTACAAAACATTTAAGAAGCAAAATGTTTCTTGCAAGGAGGAAAGGAGCAGTAACAAACCCTTTTCCTCACGAAATATAATGGACATAAAATAGAGTTTCCTGCATGAGACATATATAGAATTTTTTTTTTCAATGATCATTTTAAACTTGCATATATAGTAACAACTCTGTGCCGACTACAGAAAAGGTCAGAGACCTCTTTCCACTTTTTGATGAAAAAAGCAGATTTTCCGCAGTCATAGATGTCAGACAGTACAGACAGAGAAACTGTAATTTGAAGAGGAAGAACAGATGCTGCAGATGCTGAAGATTTTCACTCCTGTGTGAAAAAATATGAAATTAAAAATTTTTTTGTCACTCAGCTAATCATTAATGTATTTCAGCACATATTCCTGTACATAATAAAAGCAGAATTAGCCCCAAAATGCCATCAAAATAATTTGGTTGGAGATCTTACACCATATTCACTATCATAAGAACAACCATTTTATTAATGTATTAAACTCTAAAGAAACTACAGTCAGAGATAAAAATTTTCTTTATTTGCACTGTTATGTTAAATTTCAATTTTTTCCTCTACAAAAAAATTATTTTACTTAAGTCCTCGCCAATATTGTATAATATTGTATAATTATTAAATACAAAAATTCCTGTCCTGACATCTAAAATTTCATGCTAATCTGTCCCACCTGAGAAAGAAAAACATATCTTTTCCACTCCTCAAAATAAATGGTTTATTTATTAGCAAACATGTAGACTCTACATTTCATACATTTAGATATATTTGTTAGAAAAATACACAGCAAAATTTAAATAACTATTTTATTCTTCATAATTTATAAGAAATTACGATGTTTTTGCTGTAGTAAAATTGTTATTGCTGTATAAAATAATTCATTTCCATACATTCATTCCATAGTAATGGCTTTAAAAAAAAAAAAAAAAAAAAAAAAAAAAAAAAAAAACTACCTTTCTGTGTTGTTCATGTAGCTCCAACTCACAAGCTTTCAAATTTTCCACGCTCACATGATGACTTCTACGACCAGAAAGCATAGGAGATGTTGGTGTGCAACGGCCAGACCATACAGTGGCTGGAGATTTTCGACCCATAACAATAGGATCTGGGGTTTTAGAATACAGTCTAGTAGTTTTAGGAGACATAGTTACTCTGCTATGATTTGTACGATGAAGATAAGGTGGTGGTGTTGAAAATCCAGGTTTAGCACCCAATGGACTGAAACGTCTAGAAGCAGGACTTGGATTTTTTATACTTGTTTCAGAAGAATAACCTTTGTGCATTCGCAATACAGGTGGTGCAGAATGTAGTATTCTAATGCCTTCTTTAACAAAATATTTTGGTATATCTTGAGATGTTATAGTAGGAGGCTGACTATGAGACATATATTCATATTTAGAAACCTTTTCAACAAGATCTATTCCATCCATATACTGATCTACAAGACTTCGACTGCCATCAAAATATGGTTGCTGATTTGAAGTAGACTCTACTGGTATAAAGAAAGAAGAAAAAACATTAAAATGACATTGATTAATTGATTGTAATTAGTTTAAAATAATTAAAATTATTCAAAAATAAGATATGAAGAAAAAAAATTTATGTCTAAGTACTATTCAAAGTCATACATAAAAATATAATATTATACTTAAAAATTTGAGGACAGATTACTAATTAATGCTGCTGCAAATAACACATGCAATGATTATGACAATTGCTATTATGAATGACTTCCGATTATTATGCTTTAAAAATGCATTTAGAAGCTAAAAAGACAATAAATGTTTAACAATTCTGTACACACAGGAACTACATACATAGTAGCACATAACACTACAATATTAATAACTAAAACATGTATTTACAATAAGAAGACAGTTGAAAACTTTAAAATATTACATCAAAATACCAGTGTTAAAATATTATTTCAAATAATTCAATATTCAATTATTAATTGACTTAAATTTAATATGCAAATTTTCAAGTATGATTACAATTTGCAATCCTATAATTTAATACTGAATCTAAATGCAGTGCGCATTGAACTGTTCCTAAGACTCTAACAGAACTGAAAGATAAAAAGACCTTTTCTGGAAGTAACAATGCTTTTAGCAATGAAACAAAAGGATGTACATTCAAAATAAACAACATTAAAGTGAAAAAAAAAATTTTAACAGAAAAAAAAAATTATTCAGGATGGCTAACAGTAGGGGGGAATATAAATGAAAGATGATGCAAAAATGCATTTTGTATAAATATGAAAAAGTTTGAAATGCAATAAAGGTTAAATTTCAAACTTTCAGATAAACCTATCAACATTAATTTCTTATGCTTTTGCCAAATTTCAGAAGAAAGGCTTTGAAGAGTAGTTTGGTTTATTTGAATATGACAAAGCTCTTGTGGGATATCTGTCTAGAGGAGAGACATCTTCATGGAAAACTTCCTATGGGAAACTGACTTATAACCATGATTCATATGGGAAAAATCATACAAACCAATCATGCAGCCAGCTCACTCATTTGGGATCCAATCTCCATCATCCAGCGGTCTTAACCACTCGACCACTGGTAAAGCATGTAATACAAAGAAGCTATTATTTTTTTACATCATTAACATCAGCCAGCACAGTTGCACACTAACTATGGCTAACTTCATTTAATTATTTCATAGCTGCTATATTATTGCTCACAGTTAAACACCGCTCAATCCTGAAGACAAACTGGCAAGTGACATAAAATGAACATGTCAAATAATTGCTTTATTACTTTAAAATTAGAATAGTGTTCAGCAATTTAACCTCTGGGCCACTAGAGGATGATTTTTTAAAAAAATGTATTCTGTTGCTGATTTCCATATTTATAGAATTGCAAATTTATTTTATATTATTTTTACATTTTGAAAAAAGGGAATAAAGACTGGTCTTTTTTAATTACTGTAACTACTAAATTGAGAGTGTGTTTCAAACTCAGAGTGTGCACCTTTTGGTAAATGGGAAAAGCCAAAGAACTTTCAATGATTACACATCACAATATTATCATTTTGCATAAAATGTCAACCAATATTATCTGTAGATAATGTGAAGTTTTACTTAGGACCCCATTCAAAATGTTAATATTCATGCATTGAAAGTAACATATTATAAAGTCAAGCATCATATGACAATAAATAACACATTAAAAAAATTCTTTATTCATTTATTGAGCTTTGATAATGTGAAACAAACTATAACATGATACATATAACATATTATACTTTTTGGGGGAAAGAGGAGGAGTCAGATCAAATTTCATTCCAAGGAGGGAGCAAATAAAATAATTATTTAGTAGAAATGCATATATTTTTACCATATGCTAATAAAATGGAAGTTAAGTTTTAGTAATTAACAACTAAATAGCAACAGCTGTCAATAAACATAATATTTACATGATAAATCCCACATTTGCATGATTACAAAGAATAACTTCAGTGTTCATATAATACATATAAAATGCTTTCTCATTCATTAATGAGATGCTTAACTGCATTTCTATATAATAATAAAATATAGTTATACAGCTAAAAAAACATTCACAAAATTATAGCTAAATATGTTCATATTTATTAAGCAAAATACAAGACTACTGTTTGTAATATATAAACAAACAAAAAAAAAAAAACTATTTCATCTCAATAGTGGTTATCATGTTTATGAAAATATTATTGCAATCTGAAGTTAAATTCACAATCCCAACAGTATGTGCAAATAATGAAATAAATTTATAATAATTATTTGATTCAAAATTCAGCATTAGTACTGCAATGATATACGCTGCAGAATTCAAAAGTTCCCGGACTGAGTCTATAACGTAGAAATTTTTTGCAGTAGTGCGACTACGAGAACGTTTTTGTGTTACTACATTCTCCCCCTTTTCTAAAACTGGTTTGTCCCAAATCACAAGGTCAAAAGCTCGCGGTGACAGCATTTTTTGTAGGCAGATGCATTTAGTAACCGGCGATAGAAAGAAATGGCATTAGTTGAGCAGAGAATCAATATCAAATTTTGTGTTCACTTGGAAAAGAGTGCTAGAGACTTTCGAAATGTGTACGGAAGTGAAACGTTATCGAGAACACAAGATTTTGAGTGGCATCGTCATTTCAGAGAAGGTAGGGAAAGTGCCAAAGACGATGAACACTAAGGCTGTCCCATGACTTCGTGCACCAATGAAAACATCAAAAAGGTGTTTGCGAACAGACAGCAAACAATTTGCCAAATAGCAGAATCAGTTTGGATAGCAGAGTAAACATGTCAGCGGATACTGACTAAGAATCTTAACATGCATAGGGTGTAATCTTAACATGCATAGGGAATTATTCTCTGCATGTTAAACATAGACCAAAAGGGAATTTGAATGGAAATGGCAGGAGACTTAATCTCGGCTGTTGACAAAGATTTTTCCCTACTTGGCAGAATTGCTACTGGAAATGAGAAATGGCATTTTTTGTACGACCCGCAAACAAAGATAGCATTGCCGATGTGGAAATCACCATAACCTCCACGGAAACAGAAATTCCGCCAAAATTGCTCTAAAGGAAAGGTCATGCTAAAGGTATTATCCAGAGCATTGTGCATCTGGAATTTATCCCTGAAGGACGCATCTGTGAACAAAGAACTCCACACTGAAATCCTGCGTCATTTGTCTGAGTCAATCCGGAAGAAGAGACCAAAAATGTGGGCTAAGCAGTCATAGGTGCTGTTGCATGACAATGCTCCTGCTCATCAATGACTTTCTTACAAAATAAAAACAACTATTTGCCTCATGCTCCTTACTTACCTGATCCCTCACCCTACGATTTCTTCCTATTTCCTGAACTGGCAAGACACTTGCAGGGTCGTCGATTTCAATCTTCAGATGAAGTTAAATGTGCGTTGCAGACTGAATAAAAGGACATGGCCAAAAATGGATCCCAGACATGCTTCGATGAACTTTACAGGCGTTGGTTAAAAGTGTGTTGTTGCACAAGGGTCTTCTTATTTCGAAGGAGGATGTGTTTCTGACATTTAATTCATAATATGTTTTACATTATAGACTAAGCTCGGGAACTTTTGAATCCTACCTCATATTAAAATTAAATATAACCATGAAAAATATCACTTACCAGGAACAAAACCAGAAACAATTTTTCGAGGGGCTGGAGATGCTTGCTTCATTAGGTGAGCTTCTTTGGGATTGTTAAAACGAAAAAAGTTGGAACGACCAAGGCACAATATGCATCCTTTAAAAAAAAAAAAAAAAAAAAAAATCAGCCATCATATTCAACGATATTTTTAAAGAAAAATTTCATTTTACATGCTCATTACATTTTACATCATGCTCTTGGTTTCATAAAATATTTTTGGATAACTCAAACCTACTCAGAAATTATTATAACTCCCTGTTAATTTAATAGCAAAATTCCACAATAGCTTTGATATGTACTTTTAAAATATGTGGTTTTAGCATCTAAGAGTTTAGTTAAACATTTTAGGGTTTTTAAGACCTCAAAGAAAAGAAAACACCCATGAAGTGTTTGTTATTTTTAATTTGCGATAAAATAGTACCCACACTATAGAAATGCTGTTTGCTAAGTAACATTGTACAAGATCATCTTTAATGCAACAAAAATTTACACACAAAATACAACAAAATTTAATATAGTACAAAGTCCGTAATCCAGAATGATCTATAATCCGGACCTCAAAGCCACAAACTTACGCATGCGTTTGATGCGCATGTCCGCTATGCATGCACATAAAGCCAGTAGAGCGTTTACACATGCGCACTTCCGATAGTGAAGAAAGTGACAGAGGGGTTATTGAAAACGGAAAAATTTCGATTGACAAGTTAGTCGGTATTCTCGACACAGCAATTACAGGATTTGAACAGTGGAACTTTGTAACTAAACAAGAAATTATGTCTGTTTATAGAAGAGAGAATTAAACAGAAAGTATTAACACACACAAAAAAAAGCAACCTAAATAACTTACATTGAAAGAAATGTTTAATAAAGTAAACAAATAAATATTAAGCTTTTTTTTTGTAAATTTTGATACCCTTTAGGTCACAGTTGCTCTTTATTTCATAAATTATGGTTTCATATTTTAATTTTTATAATTTCTGCATGCCATCTTACCAGATTTAAATTGATGATCTATAATCCGGAAAACCCCCTAATCCGGAATTGCCGAAATTCCGACGAGTTTGGAATACGGACTTTGTACTGTACAATACAAATTTATCTTTAATACAATAAAAGTGCATTACTCAATATAACATAAAATTTGAAAAATATTTTTAGTACACCTATTAATAATATTTTGCAACAAGTATTACCTTATACAATTATTGTCATAAATAAAACAGATATTTAGCACCTATTATTGATCAATTACAAAATTTCTAACTACATTTTTGTATATGCTTTTATCTGCATCTAGAACAAAATCTAATGATTTTGATGAAAATTTGGTTTGATTTGAAGAAAATTACACATCTTATAATCCTTCTGTTTTTCTCTATAAATTTTATAAATATTTATCTATAAAAATACATCTAATCTCTATAAATCCTTCTACTTTTAATTTCCTTCAAATAGTAATATACTTTTTAAACATTTAGATATTTTTTCTGTTTTTAAACATTCCTCCTTCAAAAAAAAAAAAAAAAAAAAAAAAAGTGTCTAAAGAAACACTCTTAAATTTGAAATTCTTTTTCATCTAACTTTTAGTTTTATTCCATAATAAAGATTACGATGTTATTTATTTATTTATTTATTTATTTATTAAGAGAAGGAGTAGTTTGTGTGGTGTTTTTAAATTTTCTAATCTCTCATATTTTTCCCTCTCCTTTGAGATGTAAGACTGTAATCTGAAGTTTTCAGAAGACAAAATTTTGCTTTCGCTTATTTGTTTCTCTCATTTTTTTAACCCCCTTTTTTTCAATTACACTGTTTTTAACACATTTTTTTTTTACTCGACCACGATGCTAGGAATAATACTGTTGGATGCCAATGATTCTAAAATCTACTAATAAATATACAGTATCTTATAAGTATCTTATAATTTTTTAAAAGGAGGAAAGTCGTAAAAATTAATTTTTGTATTAAAATATTTGATATATTAACATAAATGTTACTACTGATTACATAAACAATTAATATTTTTATAAATATGTAGTGTCTGTTAAGACTTTTTGAAGCATCAAAATCAGCTATATCCTTGGTGGGGTTTAAGCTCCAGATCAGCCGATTGCTAGACAGATATGACTACCAGTCGCCCCATGAGAGCACACAGTGCAGAAGGCAAAAATTCTCTGCATTTGCCCATATTTAAAGGATAATTGGAGAAAGGAGTATTCGACTAAAATGTGGTGGGTGATAACTGGTGACCATATCAGCAGTCAAATCCAGGTGCCAACCAATTATCACCCACTACATGTTAGTCGAATACTACTTTTACACTTTTTTTATTAAACTTTTTAAAGCAGAAAACATGAAAAGCCAGCTATGCTCTTGCCAGAATTCAAATTCTGTATCTTTCAACTACTAGCCAGATGAACTGTACCATGACAACATGCAGAGGGGTAAACAAAAATTCCTTGTAAGTACTTACTTCTGTATAAACTTTTCAAGGGATATGGATATAAAATTCCATATTGAAGAATGGCTTTCATATTCGTTACACATGAAAATTTCCTGCTAGATCTTTATCTGTTCAATTCTGAGTTGAATGTATATTGCATGGAAAGGGGTTCAAGGTAAGAAGTGAGAGGGTCATTTAAACATTATTAATCAAGAAAATACTACTTTCTCATGCCATTTTGGGGAGCTTTGTAATTTTTGGGCTAAAGTTGTAATGCTGAGAGGGTTATAGCATTTTAATAACTGAATTGGTTTGTGAGAATATTCATCAGGTTAATAAATCCTCTCCTACACAGAACTGTGAATTAAAATTTTCTTGAATATAAATTATAATTCTTTAGTTTCTGTGTTGAAAATTAGAATATTTGATTATTAATGATTTCAGAGATTTTTCTTCATCTTGTGATATTTTAATTCAGTTCCAACATTTTCTTTAAATATTAATTGCATTCAAACAGTTTTCTAAAACATGTGTTGAATTGTGCAGAATTTAGTTTTTATACATATTGCATAATTCTTTATCCTACATTTTTATCTTATATTTTTTCCAACGCAAAACTCGAACAGTCTTGTCACCTTCAAAAATGTAAAATTTGCATAAACACAGTATTCTAAACAACAATAAGACCTAAATATCCAGCAAACAATGCCAAAAGATATTTTGTTATTAAAAGAATAAATGCATATTAATGAAAATACTATTAAAAAAAAAAAGAAAAAGATAAACATGGAGCTGTATTTAGAAACTTTTTTTTGGTGGGGGAGGGGAGGCAGGACATATAAAATTATATGTTTCTATGACTATATATCTTTTTATTTCATAGCACATTAGAGAGTTATTACAACAAAAATTTTAAAGATGCAACTGAGAACTATGTTAACAAGCACTGAGTTTCATATTTCACTTAGTATTTACATATGTAGGCCAATAAATTTCAAAAAATAAATTTCTTTTACTCTCACACAACTATATTTTTTAGACCCTTTTTTTTAACATTGAACACTTTTTAAAACATAGACCTGCAATTTATTATGTTCTTTAATAAAGCTTTACAATCAAAATTTTAAAAAGCTTAATTGCTTCCATAAATATTTAAATACCTTGTGATAAACAAGTAGGTTCAACAATAAGTACTCCATCAATTGAAACATCACCATGCTGTGGATAAATTGTTACGAGACCATTATTATTATCTATGAAACAATGATCCTTTTCAATGCCAGGCCCATGGATTATTATATCTTTCTGATGTTGAGCAACAATACTTCCAACATAAACTCTGCCTGCAAATACATATACTCAATTATCAACTTTAAAATAATATGGCATTCATACTCTGGTGTGCAAAAATTAAGGACAAGATGTTTTTTTTTCAATATAACTTTGTACAAAAGCTTTCCAAATCAACACATTTAATACCGTAAGATCCCCAATACGTAAAGACATGAGTAATGTAAGCAACACTTACTAAAAGAGAAATCAGAGGGATAAAAAGAAGCTTTATTGAAAAAGTAGCATGGAGCGCAATGCGACTGAAGGCCGAAAAATCCCTGTGATGGGTGTCCAGCAAGAAACATCCGGTCTTTAATAGGGGATATGATCTCCCCTGACTGCTAGGCAGGTTTCACAGCATCTGCCCATGCTGAGAATGAGGGTGTCAATGAGTTGTTGAGGCATTGCTGCCCATTCGTCTTGCAGCGCCAATTGAAGCTCCGGAATTGTTACTGGTGGTAAGGTATGAGCTGCCAAGTGTCTGCCTAGAAAATCCCATACATGCTCGATGGGATTGAGATCCGGAGATCGTGCCGGCCAATCCATACGTTCAATTCCTCACTCTCTAAGAGCTGTTCGGCAGCTACTGTGCGATGACATGGTGCATTGTCGTCCATGAGAAAGGAACTGTGGACCCATAGCGCCTCTAAAAAGACCACATATGGGAGAAGTCTCGTTACAATAACGGTTCCGTTGACTGAACCTGCGTCGAAGATGTGAAGGTCTGTACGACTACCAAGCATGATGCCTCCCAAACGAGAAACACTGCCAACCTCCATACCGTCCCTTTCAATGATGTTCGAAGGATGATTGCGGCTTCCCCGCTCTCTCCAGATGAGTATGCGATGGGAATCGCTACTCAGACTGAATCTGCTCTCATCTGTAAAGAGTACTCGTCCCCATTCATTGTCTCTCCAATTCCGGTGTTCCCGGCACCACAGAGAATGCCTTCTCCGATGGGCAGGCGTTAGAGGTACACACCGTACAGGGCGTCGTGCAAACAGACCACCACCGTGCAGTCTTCTGGCCACGGTAAAACGCGATATTGGTCGTCCAGTCACCTGTGTCGTGTGTCTAGCGATTTCTCCCGCTGTCTGCCACCTGTTTCTTCTGTCCTGTAAGGCAATATACAGGTTATCTGCGGGTGTGGTTCCTCATGGACGACCACTACTGAACCCCCGGATAGCTGCTCCTATAGTTTGAAATTGTCTCCAAAGTCGTGAAACGATGCTGTGAGCAATTCCGAACTCTGCAGCCTTCCTCCAACTTCCCAATGATTCGACCTCGGGTAAAAGCATCCAGATGTCGTCTAACAGATTGATTATTCGTCATTTCTCGCTGAGGCAGCAACTCGGTGTGATTTTAACTGCTATACGGCATGCAATCTCTTTGCCAGAAATACTGATCTTACACCGACAACATGCTTTATACTACTCAGACACTCCCCCATTACGTCTACCTGCATATCTGCGCATGTGCTACCGTACATCACCTTACTTAATCTCCTGATTGGTCTTTCTGTCCGCTCTGCCTCTTCGTTCAGCTGATCTGCTAATTTTTCAACTTCGTCCTTAATTTTTGCACACCAGTGTATTTTTTCAAGCATTTTTTTAAAAAGATGTTAAAATTTCTCTTCAGGAAACAAAAGAAAAATATATTAATAGACATTATGCAGCTTCATTATTAGTATTACTGAATTCATGCATAAGCAACATAACTGAAAGCTAAAACAATTTGGAATCCACAAACACTTAGTCTGAAAGAAATATTTCCAAAATATATCTTGTTCTTCAAAATCCACAATGTATTATATTTTTACTTTAAAAATCAAAGTATAAGAAACATTTCTTCTCTACATTCAAAAACAATTTCACGTGCAAAATCCGAAGTTAATATCATGCAATAATTTGTTACATCAAGCAAATTAAACAGAATTCTTTCAAACAGATACTGTATTTTATTTTTGGTCTCTTTTTCTTGGAATAAATTAAACATCTCTTAAAAATGCCTATAACATTAAAAAAAAAAAAAAAAAACTTTAAAGTCACATTATCCAACATCAAACAAATTTTACAAATTAAATTTTTTCTAAAGAAAGTAGTGTAAGAGTTTAAGATGAGAGAATCTGAGTATGCTGAACTAAAAAAGAAAAAAATGAAAGACAAGCAAGAAACACAAGCTGTTTGAATGTATGAAAAAGAGGACAACACTAAATCAATCTACTTCACCAGCATGCTAGGTTTCACATAATTAAATGACAGACAGAATGCAGATATATATCCATACCTTCTGGCAGTGGATGAATTGTAATAGCAGTATTTAGTCTCCCACTACCCAAGCTAACAAGATGGGGCCCTTCTGTTTGAACTTTAAATGTGTGTCCACTTTCAGAAATAGCCAAACCATCCTAGAAGGTCCACAATATGTAATACAATACGCAATAAGTGTAATATGTACAATATGTAATAAGCACAGAAGGAAGGGTGGGAAATGATGTTATGAAATAAGCAACTATGTAATTAAGCATCTAACATATAATGTTCTTGCTAAAGGAAGTTTTAGACACACACTCACACTCAATTCTTTCTGTACATTCTCTGTGTGTGAACCAGTGCTTCAGAATTATTCTACTTTTCTAATATACAGCAAGATCAAAATCCAAATCTGTTGCATAATTTAAATAAAATTAAACTAAGTTGTATGATAATAATTTAAAGATGTAAAAGATCAAACTAGTTAGCCTAATATACTAAAATATCTAAATATTAAACATAACTATATAATAATACATAAGACTGCTTCAGCACCCCCAAAAAAACTGAAGTCCAATAAGACAACGAATCAGGTGCTACAATCTTTAAAGAGGTATTACCAGGTCACATGATATATGGCTATTCATTATAAATTTTGTTTACTAGATATTGCTGCAAAACATTTCATCTCACAAATATTTCAAAACTACTAATTTGAATTTAAAATTGAGGAGTACGAGAGAAAATGGAATGACTGAAAATTAATAGAGCAGTTACTCATTTCAGTTCTGCATTCATAATGAGAAATCATCCGCACCAGGAAACATGGCATTTATTAAAGGGTACAAATGCTCTTGATTAAATTTGTGTATGCCAGTTTTATCAAGGGGAAGACATCAGTGTTCTTTTTTTTTATTTTTTTATTTTTGTATTTTTATTTATTAACCTCTGAAATAGTATGAGTTATCTAGATTCCATCATGATCCTTTTTACACCAAGTGCACCATACATTGAAGTCATGGACTGATGCCTTGGAAAAAGAAAAACCCTTTAAAGTAGAATATGCTTTGATACAACATTTCCCTTTTCTATATGACTACCATTCTTTATGAACTTTAAATGTGTCTTCAAGAAATCCCACTCATGCACCTTGCATCATATCGATACCATAGCTGCTGACAAATATACTGTCCTCCATTTACTACTATATCATTATTGAATTGAACCCAACTGAACTTATATGGAGGAGTGTGAAAGGATATGTAACATCTGAAAAATTTTAAAAAGGATGATATCCATAAACTGATTGAGAAATTGACTGATTTGGTGACTCCAATGCAATCTGTTACGTGCCTCACACACGTAACAGAACAGAAAATGTAAAAATTAGATTATCTAGCAGAGAACAATGTCCAGTGCATGAAATTTAATACTGACAAGTTAAATGTTTCGGATTTTTCAGAGGATAGGATAATCTTAGCAGGATTGAATACCTCAGTTTAAAAAAGGGCTCTTTTCAAGGCCACCAATTATGGCAAAGGAAGAACTATAAACAGTTATAAATAACATTACAAATAGAAGCTAACATCCCTTAGAAAATCTAATATGCAAGTGTCCCATCAGTGAAGTAGTTAATATCGCTAAATACTGGTAGCTAGACCTTGATTCGAATCCAAGCTTCATGATTGGTTTTCATGGTTTTTGCCACGTGTAATGTGAATATAAGCCAGTTTCCTTTAGAAAGTATAATTAAAACATAATTCAATGATTCTGAACCAGCTTGCTTTTTATGAATTTACAGATGCAAAAGCAATGTATTTCCCTAGCGTGAAGCAAAACATATATCTTTCATGTGTCATCGAACACAGCCATTTCACTCAACAAAGCATAAGCATAGGAACATAATTTGTTTTTTTAAATACAAGCAATAAATCATTCATTAATATCCTGCATTTTAATTTTTTTTTACTTTTTTTTTAGTTCTTATAAGCATTTACACTTTGTAATTAACAAAAAGGCATTTCTAATGCTGTATTTTTAATTGATTTATAGGTTTATTTAATTGGTATAGATTCATGTTTAGCAATATTTTTACATATGCTTACAATTTTAAAGTTTTAATATTTTTCTAATACTTTGAAATTTTTAAAGGTAAACTCTTCTTTGAATCGTTAGACTGCAATCTGAGGTTCTTGGAGTAACCAATATTTTTATTTATTTTATTTTAAACAGTAATAAACAAGCCAAGACTGTAGGATGGTGATTGTGTGGGTATGACTGAACCAGTATGCATCTTAGCAGACAATTAATACAAGATACAGTTTTTATAACATCTGTTATAAAATAGAGTTTTTTTTTAACGATAGCGAATTCAAATCCAATTAATGAAAACAAAAATAGAAAATTCTCCTCTGCCTCACTGTTTTGGAAGCTACAAACTGTGTAAACTCTTACAAATTAGAAGAAAATAACATAGTCAATTTACTAAATTTATATATTCGACTGCTAGCCAAGCAAACGCTCTTTGCGGGGGGGGAATTTAACCTAAAGCCCAAGGAATACCTTGTTAGCTTCACCATTTCAAATTAAGCAACAATTCGGTTTTAAAATGTCATAAAATTTGAATATGTTCCATTCAGATAATAATACAAAATTTCATATGAATTCAGAAAATGAAAAACAAGCTTTACATTTTACTCTAAACTTAACTATCAAGTTCAACTGCCACCTTCACTGCACAAAAAGATTGTTAATGAAATGTGCTGGATTTGGCAAAAAATCACCAAATGTGCAATGAATTGGAAGAACTGAACATCCCCAATCAGTTTGGTGCATATGGATAACCTGAAGAACAGGGTGTAAAGGTCGTTCTAGCCATGTATGTGTCCTCAGGTAGACATGTGTCCTCAGGCAGACTGTCATGAGGTGTAGAAGATTTTGTTCAATAGAATTTCAGTTCTTTCCGTTTACATCTCATAGTTAAGAATTTTAATTTGGTATCATGGTAAGAACTGTATAGCTAAATTCAGGAGAGAAAATGGTAGTAATTTATTAAAATATGATACTTATAAAATTCTAAAGGATAAAAAATGCATTATTTTTCAACTGTAAAGTAACAAACTGTAAAGTTAAAAAAAAAAAAGGAATTTTTTATTACAGCAAAGTACAGTAACTTTACTTTCATATTCGAAGGAATGCCTTTTAGAAGACTTTCCAAGAAAAACTGGCCTGTATTTAAATTTCACATGAAAGAACCATGAAAATCACAAAATTCTCATGCAACCAACTTGTTTAACTATCCAAGCTGTTATGAACTATCCAAGATTATGCAGATTTAATTGCTCTGCCACTACCTAAGAAGTTCTAAGAAATAAAACTTTGGTGCACACATAATGATAACTATTTACCTTAGGTGCAGAATTCACTTCTAAGAAGCTTCCATTTCCTAAAAGAGGGTTTTTGAAACCACTAGGATAGGCACTGGGAACTTTCCAGACTCCCAATGAGGTCATAGTTTCATTATGGACTTAACACTGAACTGTAGGAATCCTGGAACAAAAGAACAAAGATTTTAGTGACAATTTATATTCCCTCTAGCCCCCTCCAAAAAATAAACCATACATTTGCTTTAGCAAGATTTGGGAACAGAAAGAGTTTCTCAGCCATGATTTCCCTTTAATGACTAAGAAATAAATATTCAATATGAAAATTGTTTGCAAAAGTAATTTAAACCTACCATACAAGCAATGCAAAAACGTGAGGGAAAAGAATAAAAATAACTAATTTTTATATACCGTCAAACCCGGATTATAATAAGCCTCTAGATATAATGAACAAACATTTTGGTCCAGATCAATTTCACCACAGACTTAATACAGTCAAAAGTCGTTAATTCGGACACCCATAATCCGGAATGATCTATAATCTGAACCTCAAAGCTACAAACTTTCTGCGCATAGGCGTTTACGCATGCGCGTAAGACCTTTACGGCTGCGCATATGCATGTGCATAATACGTTTACGCATGCGTGTTTAATGTATAACGGACGGTATAAGCTAAAATTATCTAATTATCTATTTCAGTTAATGTTGCAGATTGCATTGTTCCTTAATCTTCGAATTGGATCCGTCTTATTATTTTTTGCAGACAGTTAGAGCAATTTTATAAAAGTAAGCTTGAACTTTCGATTATGTCAAATAGAATTTCCGATATATATTTACTAATATGTAATTTGTATCTACAAAGCAAAAGTATGTTTTGAAATCCGAAATCTGTTTATCAATTTCACGCTGCGGATTGGAAGCGCAGCGAAAGTATGCGAAAGTATGTTTTGATGTCCATCAAACAAAAAGTGGAATTGCTGCAAAAAATGGATAAAGGCATATCCTTTGTTTCTCTAACCATTCCGAAATCTGTTAATCAATTTCACACTGCGGCGCGCAATGAATTGGAAGTTGATCTGTCAGCACTATCCTTATCTTCAGGGCAGATGTTTTTATTTTATTTGGCTTATAATTCCTTACTAAATGTAGTATTTCATCTCGATGTACTCCGTCTTTGATATGATTTAAATCAAATTCCTCGTCATTATAATTCGCTTCCGATAGTGAAGAAAGTGACACAGAGGTCACTTTCTTCGAAAACGAAAAAATTTAGATTGACAAATTAGTCGATATTCTCGACACAGCAATTATAGGACTTGAACAGCGGAACTTTGTAACTGAACAAGAAATTATGTCTGTTTATAGAATTAAAGAGAAAGTATTATCACATAAAACGAAGCAACTTAAACAACTTACATTGAAAGAAATGTTTAATAAAGTCAACAAATAAATATTAAGCTTTTTTTTTTTTTTTTTTTTTTTTTTTTTTTTTTTTTTTTTTGTAAATTTGATACCTTTTAGATCATAATTGTTCTTTATTTCATAAATTACGGTATCATATTTTTAGTTTTATAATTTCTGCATGCCATCTAGCCAGATTTAAACTGATGATCTATAATCCGGAAAAATCGATAATCCGGAGTCGAAGTGCTGACGAGTCCGGATTAACGACTTTTGACTGTATTATTTTATATGACTATAGCGAACTTACAAATGTGCAAAAGTCAGATTTAAAGAATTTTGTGAATATCTTAGATTGGAATTTTTTTGTATTTTGCAAACAATTTCTCGCACTTTTCAATTAAAAAATTACTAAACTATAAATTCATCCCTGTTCAGGATATCAGAATAATGAAAAACACCATTATGTTGTAGAGTCATTAGGATTTTTTTAGAGGCCAGCAAGATGAAAAATTAGCAAACGCCTTCGCCGGGAATCGAACCACGGACCTCTGAAATACCAGCTCAGTGTGCAGAACCACTACACCACGAAGGACGCTAGGAAAGTGGGAGAAATACCTTATATACTCCCTTTTTTAAAGGGCGACTAGGGTTTTAGGGGACCTAGTCGCCAAATCCTGGGTGCGGAGAATCATCATCCACAACTCTTTTAGTTCGGGCATCACTTGTAGAGTCATTAGGATTTTTTTAGAGGCCAGCAAGATGAAAAATTAGCAAATGCCTTCGCCGGGAATCGAACCACGGACCTCTGAAATACCGGCTCAGCGTGCAGAACCACTACACCACGAAGGACGCTAGGAAAGTGGGAGAAATACCTTATAATGTTACCATTTTTTATCTTCATCCCCCACCCCGGTTTCTCTATGCATGAAAATAAAGGCTACGTCAGGCAGGCAGAGCACTCAATTCTTGGAAAACCAGGTCATACTTCAGTTCCCTGATTACGAATCTTTTGAGTTCGGTGTGTCAAATTTAGAAAAACCCTAGCTTAATTCTGGTGCCATGTCACATTTAGAATCATCCACCTTCCAAGAATGCACTCGAAAGTCCCCGAGGTAAGCACACTACATGTTGACAATTAAAGGCTGTTGCAAGAGACAAACATTTTTGTAATTTGCAGTTTGTTGGTCCTTCGACGGTTCTGGAAATGTGCGTTTTATGTCATCGAAAACGGATGCACATGTCGTAGGTTCGGTATGACTGCTTTAGGACATCCTACTGTATCATGCATTGAACCAAAGAACCATTGAGCCATTGAAACGGAGCTTGACTTGTTTCTTTGATTCCATTCAAGTTCTTTGATTGAGCTATCAGATAATACTAATCAAAGCTGATAAATGCGTATTTTTTAGGAAATACGAGGAGGAGCTCTAAACCGTGACTTTTAAAAGCTACTATTTATATTTTTGGAAGATATCACAATGTCAATCATTCTTCCTGTGTGATTTAGCAATCAGTTTTTACACTATTTTGTGAGATAATAAATTTTTCCCTCACCAGATTGGATATAATGAATCAAATTTCCAGTCTTTAAAACTTGTAGCGAAGTTTGAGTGTATTACCATCTGAAGTCAATTTTAATTTTATTATTAATTATTAATAGCACTGAAGGGGGGCACTAAATGGTTATCCAAAATAAAAAGTAGTTTTTAATAATTTTGTATGCAGTAGCCAGCTATGACAATTAAAAATGCTTACCAGCACAAGTTTTAAAAAACCCACGGCAGCTTGATGCTATGGTCACGAAATGATAACATTCTACCCAAATAGCAAAATTACTTTTTATTATGATTTCTTTCTCAAATACTGTAAATAGGTTTGCAGTTTCTTATTTACTATCTTATTTAAGAAGAAATAGCTTCTGAAGTATTGAAAGATATTAATCAGATGCTGAGATATTCATTGAAAGAATATGGTGCCCATATGAAATCATCTGGATGTTTGGCGACCAAATTTGACACCAAAATTCATCTTCAAAACTTAAGATTTGGATATTCTTCAGTTTTAGAGGCTTAATTGTTAATTATAATTATGTATAGTTTTCCACTACATTAAATGTCAACTCGTAAAACCATAAAGACAGCTAAATAATTTACCGTCGCATCTTAGCTTCTAAGTACAATAAACGGAAAACAAATGAAAGTTTAAAATAAGCCGATTTATTCACACGTAAACCTGATGATTACACGTACTAATGCAACAAAAGAAACTCAATATCCGCAACTAGCAGAAACTGTAAAACATACGCCCTAGTCAAATTGGAAAATTGAAATCGAATTTAACATGGGCTGGCTAAAAGTAAGCTTTCGTTTGGAAATATTCCGCGAAGAAAATGCGATTTAATATGACAACGCATTTTTCGTAAATTTTCAAAATGTACGATACCTCATTACTAAAAGAAACATAATGCTTCATTTTATTAAATAATGGAAAATTAGCAGCGCCATCTACGTGCACTACCTGAGGCCTCCGCAATTATAAATCCCTGTTTTGACAGACTCATCGTTATTATTGATAGAATTGATGTAAGGGACCTACAATGTTATAAAAAGTCCAGCTGCTTATGAATCTAAGATGGCATTCGAAAAGTTATTGTTATTTTTGAGACAATTGATAATAGGTAGCGGCAGCAGAAACTATAAAACGCCCGATTATGATTATGTTACGATTAGCTTGCGATTATATTACGAGGGCTTTGATAATTAGCATTTTTTTAACCTAATAAAATAATTTTAATGCTTTTTGAAATATTTACAAAGAAGGATAAAGAATAATTTTTATATTTTAAAACTTATTACAACTCATATTTTAGCTACAGAGATTTTAAATACTGAACATCATATCACTTCTTGATTCATTTCAAACAGGTTACCAAATTTTCCTCTGATATTTCTCTTTAACGTTAGCACAAACATACTGATGGAATGTTTTCCATCATTAACGTTAAACATTAATGTGGTAACGTTAAAGAGAACGCAAGTTTGTGGTAACGTTAAAAAGAACATGCAGCATCAGCAAGCTGGATGCTTCTAAATAAATGCTTCAAATTATCAGCAAGAAGGTCAAGACGCATCCAAGATGTCCATACTGTTGTGTAGTGGCCACAATGAGGAATGCCACAATGCAATTTAAAAGATGGCTGAAGAGAGTTAAACTGTTCGAAATTACAAAGATTCGAAAGTCGGAATCATTACGCCGGGATAGTGTTTACACGCGGGTACCCGTTTTTGCGAATCTCATCGAGTTTGCCTGAGCCGAAGAAGACAGGTCTAACCCAGCACCTAAATCTGAAGTCTAGAGGATGTTGTCTTAACACAATCGGCCAAATTCAAGGCAGTGGCAAGTTACTGTTCACAGTATTTTACTCTCGATACTACTGTAGAGATTAATAGTAACAACTCCCTCCTGGAAGCGAAAAACATAGAAGGTGGGGAGAAATATTCTTGCCGAGAACTGAACCAACCATATGAACTTAATGAACCATATAAATGGTTTAATGCTAGTTCCAATCATTGAACTACAAGGAACAGCACGCACGAAAGAATGCCTAATTTCTTACAATTCAAAGTCCTTCACATGCTGGATGCTTAATTAGTAACATAATTTCTAGATGAAAGAAAATATCCTTTTGAACTTTGGAGTTATTCATTTGGGAAATTTTGCTTTTAAAAAATTAAAAACATCTTTTTCATCCTACGCTTTTAC